AAGCCCCATCAGCACAGCCATTGTGTACACATATAAACTTGTTCTATAACTATACAAACAATCTGCTACACATAAGATACACATTTACCTTCGCCAACTGCATTTGGATTGTTCGGAACTTGACCAAGATTAACAGCTTTCTGAGAGTTGTGCCAACAGTAGCTGATGAAACATCTTGGGAATGAAGACTTGGTCTGATAACAGAATAAAAACAAACATAGTAAAACCATTGTGACCTTACCTAGAAGATATATAATGAATTGTTAATAGAATACTCAACATCAAAGTAGCCTGTAGGCATGAGTAGGCCCTCGTTGGCCGAACGGCATCAGACCTCACGCCTGACAGATTAGTGTATGTCTCGTCAGCAAGATCAATACTGCTAATTCGCAAAGTTTTCGCCTTCTTGCGATGAGTTCAATGAATATTCATTTTGGCGGTCATGGTAACGCTGTCAGTCAAAGCTGTGTTTGCATTGTCGTCAAAAATCACAGATTTTTTTCAACAAGATGGTAAACATTAGGCAGAAATTTGTCAGCACCTTATCACAAACAAATAAACTCTGCCATGAATGGTTATAGCTATCACTATCTGACGTTTCTGCAATTTCATTGGTATCGACTTTAAATTGTCGAGGGAAGTGAAAAACTACATCGTTCTGTCAGGCGTGTGTTGGGTTTGGCGCACTGCGGAGGGCGCAACTCATGCAACCTCGTCAGACTAATATCAAAATGGTCAATATATAGGTTATGCACATACTAACTGTGTAAACGCAATGTGCCCTCTAAGCCAAAATGATGCACAACTGATGCAAACAGATTTGCTATGATGTAATTAGTTGTGCTAATCATATATTGATATAGTAATGTCACACAATTTTATTGCTTTGATCTATCCTGATAAGAATTCTTAGTCAAACAGTATAATTTGCTTACCTCTTGTTTCTTGGTTTTCTTGTTAACATGTTTCAGTAATTCACCCATTCTAACTTTAAAGTTACTTTGTCCATGCTGCATGTTAACATATACCTTTAAAGGGAAAATAGTTTATTATCAGTTTTGACTGCCATAATATAACTTTTGTATACCTAACATGGTGAAATATTTACCACAGTGTTTTGAAAGTGTCACATAATTATTGGCGTAGACACATTTCATCAACTTTTTGTTTTTTTCACCCAGTAAGAATATTTGTTGAAAAAATGCAAAAATGAATATATTTTTTTTTCATTTGAAATCTATGTTTAAAGCATTATGTCCTAACAAGTAAATAGTATTCATCATAATTTCTTATTAATTCATGACAAAAATGCACTTATCTTATAATTATACATCTGTCATCGTAGCGCCATAAGTTACAGCGTATTGTAATTTTGCGGTATTTTACAGGGTAATTTTATCCTACCATATTAGGAAATGCGAATTCCAAATATGGAATGATTACGTGCGTAAGCGTCCTCTAATAATAAAAACAAACATGGCTGCCATGGCTGAGTTTGACTGGACCCCACACAAAGAAGTTTGCTGATTTTGTTCTAAACATTTTGGATTTGGCATTCCTAATGGTGTATCCATGGAGGGAAAAGATGTATAATAATAAGGTTGCTACGAGGATACCTTAAAATATGCACTCAGACAGTACGCCACGCATCGACCTCTGCTGCGGGTCAGTCGATACTCCAGCTGTACTGTCTTTGTGCATACTTTGAGGTATCCTTGTAATAACCTCATATAATTACTACATGAAGATATTTGTTCACCCCATATATGCAACCAAACATAAATTGATAAGATAAGACATTTTTAGATAACCAATAGAAATGAATGATTAATGGCTCAAAAGCCATCATTTTCACTGATTTTTGCCAACCGATTTGGCACCATTTTGGTGACATTATAGTTTTAGCAGGGTTTAGTGAACACCAGCATAATATAAAAAGTTGGTATAGTATACACAGCTGAAAATAAAGGCCTCACCTCGTGAGCAAGCATCATTCCAGTATGAGTTTTCTGCCATTCCATCCCTTTTCCCATGACAACCGGAATAACAGGTTTGTGGAGCTGATTCATAGAGTACTCCAACAGATTTCGACAATTTGTAGATTTCTCAAAGTCATTTGAAATGAACACCATCACAACCTGCGCATCTTTTAATGCGATTGTGACCTGTTCAATGTGAGACTGTTCTTGATCTTCATCCAACCAACTGGAACAAAGAAACATGGGACAGAGTACGAAGGTTAATTATTAATAATAATTCAACAGTCAAACCTGTGTATAGTGACCACATAAGGGACTGTAAATAGATCTTTATAGACAGGTGGTCTTTATATGGACGTTGGATTATTTTTTCATGGATCGTCAAATCGTTTATTTGGCAAAATATTTGGCCAGAAAATAATGAGCTGGTACTGTTGTAATATATAATTTATTTGATTTGATCAAAATAAAATCGGTAATTTAAAACTAAATTAGATTGAGGAAATTCAAAATTTGTTTTATAAACACACGGCACACGTTATTATTTTTGTCCCTAAATAAAGATGAATGAAAAAAAATGGAAGGATGCTCACATAG